TTAATTTGAGGTCAACTTTGCCTCAGGTATTATAGTATGGTACCATGAAACTCGGTTTTCTAGTAATACTACATCTTATCATTATGGCAGTGGTTCTCAACCTTCCTAATGCCGCGACCCTTGAATGCAGTTTCTCATGTTGTGGCGACCCTCAAACATAAAATTATTTTTTGGTTAGTACTTCATAACTGTAGAGGATATGCATTTGCCGATTGTCTGATGTGACACCGTTAAAAGAGTCATTCGACCCATAAAGGGGTCGCGACCCACAGGTTTAGAACTGCTGCATTATGGGAAAATGTTGAAGAATAAAATAATATCTTAGTTTAGTTATGAAAATTTTATATATGTTTTGAATTTTTTTGGTGATGTGACAAGGGGGGGGGGAGAATTTGTGACATTTCGTGACAAGGGGAGGGGGTGTCTAAAAATATCATTTTTAACGTGATGTAATTTACGAATGACCCCTGCCTTAGGCAAATTATTTTTGTTTAAACTATTAATATAAGAATATGGATCATGCCTTTAACTATCATTACAAAAATATATTATTTAGAATTCAACCTGAAAATCAGATTTAAAATCATACTTTCTTAGTTTCTGATGTGCTGCTTACAATTTTGGCCCAATATTAGTTATTTTTCCTCTAGCAGTAGCTGTAACTGTATGAACTTAAGAGTAAAGTCAGTAAAGAGTAACAGACCGAGATAGCAAGACAGACACTCGAAAATAAAGAGTTTGGGGGAGTCAGACACAGAGTTAGAGCGACAGGGAGAAAGATATACAAACTAACTGAGATAGACTGACAGGGAGAAACACAGACATCAGACATGCAACAAACAGTGATAGACTAGACTTGACTAGAGCGACAGCGAAAGAGACGAGACGGATACACACATTAATTAACTGAACATAACAAAACAAGGGTAAAATGCGATTTAAAAATACACATTTTATTATTTTAAATGTTTTAAGTCCAATTTATCGTGGTTATGTTAATTTGTTTTGTTTTCTTGTGGTAGGAAATTAAAAAAATTCAGGTCTGTCAGTTTACTTTTTCGTCGGTTTGTCGGTCAGCTGAGCGAATCGGTCGCCATCTTTAAATTTTGTTTACACTATAGCTATCTCTCATTGGACCTTTAAATCACGTGACTACAAATGTCACGTGATATTAGTGACTTAGCCCCCTTTTCCATTGTAAACATTGGACTATGCTCCTTTTTCCATTGTAAACGGATTTTTCGTTTCCATTTTTCTTATGGACTTGGCCATTTTTTCTTCTTTAAACTTAATTCAGCACCTTCTATTTTTAACTGGCTATTAGTCAGGGGTGATAACTCAAAAAAATTAAAAATGGACTCTGCCGTTTTTTCCCTTGAGGTCTTCAAATATATACAAAATATTTTAATTAAAATGGGAAGAAAAAAAACGACCCTATCCCCGGCATAGATCCTCAAACCTTCCTATCGTCAAGCAACCACTCTACCACAAGACCAGACAAGATGTACTAAATCGTACTTCGTTTGGAATTATAAAAACTACTAGCCGTCCGGCCATGTCCGGCGGTCACGTGACAAGTCGCCGGACGTGTATCTTGCGCACTACACGTCCGGCGCGCCGGACGTGTAGACACTTCGAAAATTAAAATCACTGATATTCAATAAGCCAATAATAATTATTTATGTTATAAAACATTTTTTATTTATATAAAATGATTTATTATTAGTTATATTTCCCATTTACACTCTGGATAACCAACTTAATGAATTATTAATTACCCCACGGCTGCTATCGATAATTGGAAATAAGCAGACAAGCACGGTGGCCTAAAAAATGACATCTTGGAAATTCGTTTTTGAAGCCCACCCATGGTCTACACTCATGAATTTTGGATATGTTTTAAATGAACATATAAACTAAAAGAGCGGAGTATTTTTATTTAAGAGCGCATTTTTTAAATTAAGTTATTCTTGAGTGAAGTTGACCAATTTTTAACTTCAATTTTCAAAGCTTTAATCTTGACCCAAAAAATCAAACGAACTCTTAATATAACAGGAAAGATGTCGGCTTTAAGTAATTGGCGGAAGTAAAATTTTATTATTATGCTAAATATTGATTATGAAACGCGAAACAACGATACCCTCAGTAAATTAAAAAGTAGAGGTCGCCATAATGACAACAAAAATACGATACCCGTTTTTCGGGTATTTCCGGTCGATACCGAGGTCCCTAACAGGAATGTTATAACACACATCGTTCGGGTCCTTCAAAGAATAGATCTATTCACACTAAGTCCAGTGTTGGGATTCCCCAATGTGACGTCACTGCGCTTAGGGTGAGAAAACTCTTGGCAAAACCCATGCCCATACTGAGGCCATACTCAGTATCATACTGTTAACTCAAAATTTACCAGACACTTCGTTAAAAAAAAGTGTACATATCATATGATTGGACAGGAAACTTTTTTGTTTACTAAAAATTGTGCTGATCCAGGGAAAGAAACCCTAACTGTGATATGAGAAGTAAGAGTGAAAATGATTGAGTCAGTCATGTCTTAAACCTTATGATGATGATCATACTTCATACTCATTTAAATTATCAAGTCATATAATCATATATCATATAATATACTTCAAAAGTCTTCAAAAGTTCACGGAAAGACCGATTCCACTTTCGACGAGGTGTGTGTGACACTTGCGTTTCCTTTGCTACCAAGCAAGAATGTTTTTTTAAAGAAACTCTCCACACTGACCAAAAAGAATTTGAAAATAAAACCCAATAAATTCTTCAAACCTCTAATTCTTGACGCTCTAAATCTACTCCTAGCAATCCATAGTCAACTGTAGAGCCCACTACAGCCGCCATTTTTTTTAATCTGTAATGGTGACTCCACACTAATTTGTAAATTATCGTATTTCTTTTCCAAGATCTCTATCGTCATCATGGCACTTTTTAATTTTTAAAAAGTTTAGGCAAGTATAGCCTATGCGAAAAAAATATATAAATGAAATCTACCTCAACAAACAAATTCATAATAAAAATCAGTAGGCTTACATGAATAATAAAATAGGGCTACAGGAAAATCAAATTGATAGTTTGTCTCATAGTGATTTAGTAGACTAGCAAAGTAAACTGTCAAGAATTAGAGTGCAGGCCAATGTGTCAATATAATTTATCAAGTTGAACATTGGAAACATTATTTGCAGGGTCGAATTTAAGTGCTTCAAATTTGTATGAGCAGATATTTGTGTATCAGATACAATAAAGTTTTTTAAAATACAAAAAACAGCACCAAATGTCAGCCTTGAAACCGTGAGAAATGGTTTCCATCGGCTTCTTCGACATTTTACGTAAATGGCGCCACTTCTTGTTGATTAACTTCAAGCGTCCACAGTCACAAACCACTGATGACACTATTACTATTATAAATACCGGTATTAGATCGCTTTTTGGAAGTATATAAAAGGTCGTGTCCCAAAATTGTCTATATGAATTGAGTGTTTTGAGTCTGCCGGTCTACCACTTTGTCACATCATCTCATAATTAATAGTAATAGATAAGATAAGTACTTAAATTTAAATGTCTTAAACAGTAACACTTCTTAACAGTCAGTAAATTATTTACTAAATTCAACTCATTCAGTCATTGTTTTTTGTGTGGTTAATTTAATAAAAATAATGACATTGACATAATCTAATAATAATAATTAAAAGTATAATTAATAATATCATATTATTAATTCAGCGTTATTTAATGTTCATAAATTAATAAATAATATCATAATAATTTAATTAAATAATGAAGTAATGAGTAATGTCATTATGATAGGCTGTTTATCATATTATGATAATAATAATGTCATATTACTACTAATTACAATTGAATTATACTAATTTTAATATTAATAATATTGTCATTTCGTTGTTAGTATCAGTATAGTCATGAGTCATAGTATATTGTGAATCTGTGTACTGTGTAAATTATAGTAAATTCTTTGTTAAACTTAAAGTTAAATGTAAATAACTTTAGTATAATACTAATATTTGGGTAAAAGTGGAGTTCAGGTGCATATATTATTTCTTAACGCTTTTCGTATTTTATCATGTAACTCTTACATGTATTCTTTATTAATTAAATACAGGCAGTTATAGTTAACTAATACTGAATTTTAAATCCCCTTTTTTCTTTTTATTTGATTTCTATTCTAAAGAGTCTTTAAACATCCCCAACCAAAGTTACATAGCCTCATTGTTTTTTTTGTTTTTTTTTCACCCTATGGCCAGATTTTTAACCACCTATAAGTTAGTATGCTGAACAAAATTTTTAAACTGTAGGCATGTTCAAAAAAAAGAAGGAAATATTAGATTTTTCATTACGCTCGAGCGCCCCCCTTACCCACCCCCACTCCTCACTTTCTTTTTTTTCCCCCTCAGAGCGCTCAGAATATACTGGTTGTTCCTTGAAGTCTTTGGGGGGATGGGGGATTAGAAGTGGATCACCGCACACGCCATCATTGTCTTTGAGTGAAGCTGAAAAAAAAGGGGGGGGGGGGTTGCACGAATATGTGCCAATCTGTGATCACGTGTCCACTTTTTATAAAAATATTTGTGACGTAGTAGGAATGGGGGAAATTAGTTCATTTATTGATAGTTATCTCATACTGATGGCTGCAAATACGTTGTCCGTGATTGGTCAGCTCTAATTTGAGCAGCCCTCCCCTTTTTTCGTAAGCAAATGTGCTTATCAATGGTGACTGATTTGCGCAGAGTAACATGAGGGTGAGGGCTAGTGATTTAGACGGACTCGTTTTGCGGTATTGCTGGTAGTAGGATCATTTTGTTCAAAATGGCAGGACAACCAAGAGACAATAATTGAAATTGTTGATCCAACGGAAATTTTAAATGGTGCAACATTTGGTTTATACACGAACTTTGTGAGGCAACAAATAACGTTAATACAACTATGGAATTTCTTGTAAGGCCCTTGTAACAATTGCTATGTGGCTTGTAAACTGGCTACGTATGTCAAGTATGAGAGTTCTCTATAACTAAAGGGAACTGGATCTCACCGGAACCGGGATCAGGAACCCACTGGATCGGGTGGGATATCAGGATCTCACTGGGATCAAGATCCTATCTGGATCGGAATCTCACCGGAAACGGGATCCCACCATAATCGGTATCTCACCAGGATTGGGATCTCACTGGGCTCGAGATCCTACCAGGATCGGGATCTCACAGGAAATGGGATACCACCGGAAACAGGATCTCATCGGGATCTTACCGGGATTGGGACCACACCATGACCGGGATTATATCGGGATCCACCATGACCAGGATCGGGAAAACACTATGACCAGAATTCTACCGGAATCGGGATCCCATCATGTTCCTTCCGGACAACGGGGTGCCATCGGAAAATGGGAAAAAATGAAAGCTTTACATAAGTTATTTTAAGTGATATTGGAGGCAAATTAATTATTATAATTTTTTTTAATATAGTGGTGTTGTTTTGTTGTTGAAATTTCGCTTTATAGCAATGTGAATTCAAAGGAAGTAGCAGTTGTTTTTCTCTGAATGCAATCACGGGCAACTCCGGTTATATTTGTTAGTAAAGTTATAAAATAAATACAACATTTATTTTAACAAGATTCAACCAATTGGGCAACTTTTATAACGTATCTTTAAAGACAGAAGAGTTATTCCTGATTTACCGCAATGGCTCCGTAAAAGACAAAAGATTCATGAAAACTTTTTTTTATCTCGTAAAATTTGTTTAATTGTTTTTTGTATTCCAATAAAAAGATGGTATTTTACTTTTAAAATACTTTTTATAAAGAAATAACATAAGTTTACACGCGAAAATAAGAAATTCAAACAGAAATAATATATGCACCTGAAATCCACTTTTACCAATGTTTGTTAGTCCCAGTATAAGTAATAGTAAAATTAGTATTATTAAATAGTATTAGTTCATTTTACTGATACTATGCTACACTATTTAAGACTACGAAGTGTCTACTTGTCCGGCGACCAGATGAATAAGATCTCGAGATATTTGTCCGGCAACCAGATCACATGACCCCCCGTAACAAAGTTGGGGGAGATATCTGTTTGTCAGCCTTGTCACGTGATCGCTAATAGTCTATAATAAAACTAGGGTCGCAGATGCATGGGGGTGACGAGTATAAACTTAATTTCAAGAAATAAGTGTGTGGTAGGGGAGGGGAAAAAGGAATACTAGACTAGAAAGAAGAAATAATGAGAGCGAGAAAGAAAGGATAAAAATGGTAGCGAGGGTGATATATAATTAAGGCGGGGAGGTCAAAAGTTCAAAAAGAAATAGACCCAACATCTTAATATAGGGCCAATATAGTGTGCTGTTGGGGTAGCTTACTTCTCACGCAATATTAAAAGTCTAAAATAAAACTTTTATGACAGTAGGTCTATTGACAGTCAACTGGCAAGTATTGGTCTTATTTTCTTTTGTTCATATTTTAAATTTAGGCTTCCAACAACTAGGTAGAGCTTTATAAGATATTTAAACCAAGATAATGGATCTCTTGTCACATGACATGTTTACCAGAATAATAACACATACTAGTCATCCGTTGGTCATGTGACATGCCCGCCGGAAGAGTATCTACCACACTATTTGTCTGGTCACCCGACGTGTAGACATTGCCTTAAGACTAAGATCTATAGTATAGAATAGACTAAATGATATAATAATTAATAATATAGTAATTAGTAAATTGACCACAAATACAATACAGTAGCCAGAGGCAGAGTAGCCATTATATTTTGTAGAGTAAAGCCAGTAAAAGACAAAAGTAAAGCAATAATAGACAATAAAATGGTGGAACAAGATATGTGAAATGATAGGCAGAGGCTTTTACTTTTATTTCTATACTCCATCTCAGCAGTTTAAGACTAGTTCATTATACTCATAGTCATACTCAAGTCATGTCCATGACGCTTGCATTTGTTAATCATTTTATAATCAAGAATGTCTAATTAACAACAAAAGTTTAGTTATTAAAACTGCTTTAAAAATAAAGGCAGAGAAAAGAGCATTACCAAGGTGGTTGGTAGTGCCAGATTAACCTTAAGTCTAAAGCAAAGGCAAATGAGGCACATGCCTAGGGGGCCCTGCACCTTTTAGGGGCACTGCTACTAATTAACCATTCTCAATGTAATTACTAATTGAACTGAACTTTGGCCCTATCTAAAGTAATATTAATTAATTTATTATCATGCTATGCTAGGCCTAGTTGACTCCTCTGGTCTAGTCTAGTAAATCACCATATTTGACGGCATATAGGATGCAGCAGTGTATACTGAGTATGCTTCCCCTTTTTATACACATAAAAATTTCAAATCATAATCTTAATTACCAGCACATTTGAAGGGGGAAAAAGTGTGTCCTATTTGTCGACAAATACAGTAATAATTAAATAGCCTACCTAAATCATAATACAATAATTTATAATGACATTGTGTTCTGGAATTTTATTTAAAATGGCAGTAGTGATATTAACTAAAACCTGTCAGGCTCTGTCTTTCACTCTTTGCAAAAAAAGGATCTGGCTCTCACGCAGCATTCGTGAAGTACAGCTTTTAAAATGGGTAAGTTGAAGGAACATAAATAAGGGAGAACTAATGATTAATGTAACCATTTTTTTTGGGTCAAAGACAATGCTGAGTTCATAGATTTTTTGTAAAAGTAAACAATTTATTCCTACAGGTGAATATTGTATGGCAACAAACTATATTTTACTATTTTTTATTATTTGTTTATGTTTAGCTGCACAAGTAGAAGACAAAAATGAATGCCTGATGAAAGAAACAGAAGATGATGAAGAAGAGGAAGATGATGTGGACATGGAAGGAAGTACCGGGGAAGAGGAGGAAGAATCTATACAGAAAGCTAAACAAGCAATCACTTGCCGCAGTGTAACTCTTACAACACTAATGGATGATGGAATTATTAAAGCAGGAGAAGGTGTCTTGTCTATAGATTATCTGGTAAAGTTACAATCATATGTATCGTCAGATTATAAGTGTCATTTGCCAGTTATTTATTAAAGAAATGAAAGTTTATTATTCAGATCAGACTAAAGAAATTGGCTTGTATTACTTTAGAATTCAAATTTAGAAATGAAGCATTTAATCAAATTGAACATTTAAAAAAATAATTAATGGGTAGGCTATATTTTCTTGTATTTCTTTTCTTACATTCTGCCAAAATTACCTTGTCCACCTGAGATTATATGTCAGTTAAAGGGACCAAGAAGATTTATATGAAATGCGGTTAAATATCACATAATTTACCAATTTAAAAAAACAAGCATCTTTCTGATTGACACAAATTGTAGTTTGCTTTATCAACATCATTAAGGAGAATAACACTGAAATTGAATGATACTGATATCAATCATTATCAATTTTGTAAATATTACCATGTAAATAAAAAGCAAAGTAGAAAATACTTGGTAGTATAAATTGTATAAAATAATTTCTTCAGGGTCAGAGATTTGAAGCTGATTTGCTGGAAAATGGAAAAATCAAATGGCCCCAGGGCTCTCAAGAAGAGTTTAACACCCCTAGTGCTTGGGCACTTCACTGTAAGAGATTGGTCAATCCCATCAAACGGTCAGGTTGTGGATGGGCATCGGTAAGAATTCATATTTATGGAAAAGATTTTGTGCATGTATTTCAACAAAATATTTTAAATATCAATGTCTTGTTAATTTAAAACACATTTTAAAATGAGAAATATGAGGTCAAACATTTAAATCAGTTTTTACATTCTCGAAACTGTTATAAAAATTATAGTTTATTTTTGCTTTCTTAAGCCAGACCCATTTCTTGTTTAGGTTAAATATAAAAACAGAAAACTTGACATTTGGAAAAGCATGTGGGCTCGGAAACACCGGATCAACAATCCTTTTAAGATTAAGGTGACTGCTTTCTATTTCAACTCCTTTTTCTTTGTGTCCTCTCTTGTATATTATAATGTTTGATTAATTTATTTGAATTATTTAAAGTGCCAATGCCCGCCCATAAGGTAAATAAAACGTGTATGAAAAGGTCATTGAGGTACCATGTTTATAGTATGTTACTGTCACATATTAAATGTTACTATGAGGTTTGTGGTCCATACTTGAGGTCTCGTACCAGGTAGGAGAGGTACTTTAGTGACTTCCACTCAAACATGGTTACTCCTCCCTGTGTACACTTATTAATTTAAGCGTTAAAAAAAAATGAAGCAAACCTACCAACCACACTATAATGACAGCCCCCTGAGAAAGTTATTGTTCAAAATATTTTTTGAATACTGGGTTAAGTAATTAAAAAAAAAGTCTATGGTGAATCTTTTGCTTGACTGTAGTGATGTGATGATCATCCCTAGATCTCTACAAGTAACTGTTTATCACTTCAGTTCAACTACCTGTATCGGTATCTTAAGTTAAGTCATGAAAATCCATCGATTACCCTGAAAAATTTGCATACATGGTTTGGAAAGCAGGAGTATTTTATAAATATAATATCTATATAAATGTATCTATCTGTTGTCTCTCTATATATTTATATATGACAGAGGGCTGGATAGGGAGAATAGGTGGAGAATGGGTGCATTTTAATTGTAGGTCAACCATTAATATCTAAAGTTTTAAGAAAGGTCTGTAAAGGGGTCAATAGTAATAGATTTTTGCATCTTGATAGTTTGTAGTGTTAAGGTCCCCTAGTTAATTTCCTTTTATTAGATAATAAATGGATTTTTAAAAATCTAGTTACATTTGATAAAATGAAGGTATCTGTCAAACTTATATCTGTCAACAGTCACCACATCAGACAGGAGCATCAAGCTCCACGCCACAGAGTGTCTCACCTGCAACATCTGCAGATGTGAGGGCTTTAGAGAGCAAAGCAACCTCAACTTCCCCGGTCACAGATACAACTGAGACAATACTATTGTCACCATTACCAGACAACAGTGGACCCAAGGTGGACACAACACCCAAAGCACTAAATGAAGCTGTACCCACAAAAAAGGATGAGGCAACAACACCGAAAGAAAAGCATGTGAAAAAAACATCTTCAAATGAATCTCCCATCAAAACCCCTTCACTCGGCCAGTAAGTTCTACGAAATTTTGGTCAATAAAAAAAATGAAGTTTGTGGTGATAAAATGTTAAATTTGTGTATCAGACTGGGCTCCAAACAAAAACTTGCTGATGTATTTGGGGAAACTTCAATGGTTATAATGGATACTTCTATTTTATTATTTAAAACATTTGCAATAATTCCAATGTAATAAAAAAACTGCTTAACTCGATGTCAGAATATAATATTGGATTAGTTCATTTTATTTTCAAAAGGACCATCATTTTTGCTATTTAATTTATTACTAAATTTATTCTGTACCTTAATATGTTTCATTAACTTTTACAGACATGTGTCTCTATAAAATTTATAGCATTCTGTGATGAAAAAAATAGTGCAAATCTTATCTTTCTATTGGCTGTCACTGTCAATCTAGTTTCATCAGATTCAACAACTCTTTTTAACATTTTTTTTCTCAAGTCAATACTGACATTTTTTTGATGGATGCATAAAACTAATTTGTTTACAAATCTTCTCTATCTAGGTCAAAGCGAGCAGGAATATCCCCAGAAGACAGCAGTAAGTTTATTTTAAATATTGTGGTAGAAACGTTGTCTTGTAATTAATTAGGAAATTATTTCAAAACAACTGTTTAAAAAAAAAAATTCCTGTTAAATGAACTACGTGAAATTAAAATCTGTTAATATTCCTGAAGCAGAATTTTTTTTAATGATAATAGTAAATAAACATGACAATATAGAGCTATTACTATTAGTGATGCTGCTTATTCTATTGACCTCATAAATAGTTAGCTTCATGTGTGTTCAGCTGCAGAAGTCATTTAAGTGTTTTTTTTAATCATGGACATCTGTTGCACTCTGAAACATTTTGATTTGGGAAGAATGTTTCTAACTTTTTATTTACAAACAAATTTCACAGCACCTCTTAATTTATCTTCTGATCTTCCTCTTGTTGGGAAAAAAGATATTCATAGTCCAGTAGCCCGGACAAAGTCAAAGACTAGCCGCCATGATGATTATTGTGCATCAAGAGAAAGAAAAAGTGTTTCATATTTATCCCTTGGATCTCGGGGGCTAGACATGTACGTTGAATCTGTGATCCAAAATGTACTTATTTAAAGTACTGTAATTTATAGTATCCAAATCTATGGACACCGTAAGCTATGTTCATTTAGTATAATTATATAATTTGTGTAAAAAAAAAAAAATTTTGATCACTGGTTTTATCTTGCACTACCATGACCAGAGGATCTTGTCATTCTGCTAACTTGAGAAAACTACTGCTGTTAAGGGTTGATAAATTAAAACTTGACTTAGTGTGTTTGTAGTATAGATTGTTTGCATAAAAATTTATGGAATATATGTTGAAATAAAATGATTTTCCATAATTTTAAATACATATTAAGATTTATAATCAAAGTTTATAAGTAACATGAGTAGTTAAAACAATCTTTTTGTGCTTTTGATCTCATCTTTTAAAAAAAAAAAAACTATTTCAGTGACCCCCAGACTCTGGTCAAATGTGAAAATTTTGACAGTCACAGCAAGATTCAGCCATTCACAGTCTCACTTACAAGTAACACCTTGCTATTGATGGTCAGTCATCAAGGTGTCATCAGTGTGCTAGTACTTGATATGAGATCCTAGGGTTTCTTATCATTGTTTTTTAAGTACGTAACATAGGGGAAAGGATCTGGAAAACATTAATAATCAAACCATATCCTAGACCAGGGGTTCTTAACCTGTGGTCCACAGATCCCTTGGTGGCTTCCTAATTAGTGTTAGCTCTTTGAAGCGCATTTCCTTAGTAATTTTATAATATACATTTAAAAAATTTATTTCAAGAAAGGATGGGTCAGTGGCCTTCACCTGACTGGCAATAGGTATACTGAAGAAAAGTGTTTCAGAATCCCTTATTTATACAAACTGCATGGTCAACCTAGGGAGCTGGGTGGTCGAATGGTCTAAACTGAGCCAGTCTCCAGTTTGTAGTATAGTCATCCTCAATGATTATACCTTGTAACTGATTATAAAAAAAGATATTCATCACATTAGTTATTGCTTTAGAATTTTATTCTTAGTCATACAAGACATCTAAGATGAAGCTCTACTCATAGTCATAGTTATATAAATATGTATAGAACCCCGTTCATTGTCATCAAAATGTCTTATATACTTGTTTCATAAGCCAACCTCCTGTGAAAAGCCTGAAAAGTGTAACCCGCATAAAAACGGCCCCCTTAAAGTAAATAACAGAAGAAGCATTACAGTACTAAAGAAAATATTAAAATAATTCAGACTCTTTAAATATAATTGTCCTGTGAAGTTAGAGCTCTGCCACCTTTTTTAACTTTTGGCCCATCTAAAGCCTTTTCAAGAATTCAAATTAAAACATGCAAAAATGTTTAGAAATAACTTAATGTAGTTAACATTCACTATGGTGTGTAATGCTGAAAGTTATAATATTACAGTGCATTGCTCAATATTAACTGTCTGTGCTGGACACTATTCTGTTCAAAAAAGTTATGATAGCTTGTCAATAACGTTCCATTTGTTGCAGCATGGTTGATGTATGTATCTACATATATTTTGTGCTTTTCCTTCTCTTGGAGGCATTTTGCGCGGCATACCTGGCATTATCTTTCCACACAATAGATGCACAGCTCTTTTGAAATTTAAAAGACTTAAAAGCTATTAAATCTACAGTATTATGTAACACAGTCTGACACTCATTTCACACGTCTACAATATATACTGATCATTTCCAAAAATAGGACCTTGGTGATCTACATTATTCAGTGTCTGTACTTTAATAGCCAATCACAGCAGTCACAAAATGAACACAAAACATGTGACCCAATTTTGAAAACATGGCCCCATGTTGACTTCCATTAATCACTTTTTTCTTCATTGTTTTCTAAATGAAGATCAAATGTGCCTTGAGATAATTATACAAATCTCATTAGCCAACCACTCCACTTATTTCCCTGAAATATTCTCTTGAAAAAGTTGGCTTATGAGCAACTAATATGGTAGTTATAGCACTATTATTCACAGTTGTACAAATAGTAATAGAACTCACTTCCTGTATAGATGACAAGTTTCAGCCCTGCTTATGATACCTTAAAAAATAATGGTTATTTTGTTACTCAAAGGAATGCCTTTGTTTCTGTCCTCCATATTATTTTTGTTAAGGTACATTCACTGACTACTTTATAGCAAAGCAAATGCAACAGCTTTTGTCAAGCTCATAATAGGGAAAGGTTCTTGACATTATTTTTCTGTTATGTAACAAGTTTAACAAGTTTCAATTTGTGTACACCCTGTATACAGGACTTTCACTGTCACCTGACCAAGTCTGAAGTTGTGGGTTATCTTGGTGGTAGATGGGACTCCCACAAGCAGCGTAAGTTCTTTGATGATAGTTATAATTTAACATATTGCCATGACATTTTGTGGATGTGAGGTTATTGCTTTAAAAAATTTCTAGTTTATCATTCTTAATGATTTGTCATGTCATGTGGCTTGAAACTTTCATTCCCAGATTTGAGTGTGGAGCAAGTCTTTCCTATTCGTTGTAGACTTGGGGATAAAGAGAGAGCTACTCTTCTAGAAGATGAAGTAAGATGAAGTATTAATTACATTACAAATATATGTATATATTTATATATAATTTTTTTTCCTTTTGCAGTGGTCTTCAACTGGTGGTGGGTTGGTTTTCAACTGGTGGGATGGCTTTCAAGTGGTGGGTGAAAACCACTGTCCCACAGCATATGATAAATTTACTATTAATGGCAAAAATCATTGTTTTTCTGGATGAGAAAGTGGCTGTTGTATTAACCCAGCATACCTATACATTTTAAATTAAAATTCCTCTTTCCTCTAAACAAATTGAACTCAGTATCATACAAGCTGATTCGTTTTAGACCAAATGGGATTATAAAAAAATGTCGCTGATGACTGGTATATTGCCCTATTATTCTATTATCAAATAATTGAGAAATACCCGGTGAGTAAGATAATTTGAATAAAACTAAGGATTACTCACGATAGTCATCCATAGTACTGACCAATCTGTACATATCAAGCACTACTTACTTAATGTCTTTACATCAACATCAGAGCAGCAGAAAGAAGTTAAAAGTTAAACCAGTGACCATTTTTTTTTTCCCCAGTATTTACACCAGTTGATAGTCTTATCTCTTATTTTTTTATACCGGTAATTTGAATTTCCAAAAATTTACTACCAATTATAGAAGCAGTTTTTTGATAATCAAAATTTACACTGGCATATCAAGTGTATGTCTACTTTTAGATTCGTCGCAGCATGAAACAGAAGAATCAAATGGTTGTTGGCTGGTATCACAGCCATCCTTACTGTCCCCCTGACCCATCCATTAGAGATGTAGATTGTCAGATGTCCTACCAACTCATGATGAGAGGATCTGGCTCTATGTATCTTCCATGTCTGGGCTTTATAGTTTGTAAGTTACAATAGTCACCTACATTCCATTACATCAGCACCATGCCTACTATTTCATATCCGGAAATTAGTACAGAACCAATTTGTATGAAAGAAAGTTGTTTTTAAACAGAAATATAGGATTAAAAACTCAACAGAAATTATATTTATTAAAAAGTTTACAAATCCCCTAGTTCCCACTCAAACCTCTGTTGAACAAATTTCATTTTCAACAAACTTCGAACTAACTTCCATTCAGACATTCTTTCGTACAAATTGGTTTATTACTAATTTCCAGTAACCCTTCTATTTATCTGTATCTGCTGCCACGTGTGGGCTTTATAGTTTGTATTTTACAAATTATACAATATTCGAAGTAGTACAGGGTAGTAGTACAAGATTTTTCCCTCATTTATACCATATAAGCACAGTGCCTTTTATTTATACATTTTCTTCTTGTAATAAAGGGTATTTCATGAAGTAGTTAGAAGCTTTATTTTTTGGTCTGATGAAAATTTTCTTCAGTCTCGAATGATAACAAAAAGTAAAAAACATTATTATTGATTACTTGTAGGGGAAGCACCAAATAGCAGATCTTAAAATAATCATATTAGCATAACACAAGTACCAACTTCTGTCCACCTAGCTTTCACAATCAATAACCAGCTAAAGTGATATGACACCACTGTCAAACTCTATATAATAAAATCCAAATAATCACATCTAATGTCAGTATTGTCAGTAAGGTAGTGAAGATCCGTGGCCTATGATGGCCGATTTTTGTGCTCCAGAAATAATAAAGATGTCTTGTGTTTAAATTGTTCTAGTTTAAAAATGATGTCTTTGTAAGAAAATTTATCTATAAGCTGAAACTTTGGATCAATAAATCTTATCTGAAATAAGTTAATGTCAATCAAAGGCTTTTCTACATTTTTAATTTTGGCATTTACAAAGTACAGTAGCAAAGTATTTGACAGTGCAACAGTTGGAATCCAAATGAGATCATTACCTGCTGGTGTGAAAATTAATTGTTAAAAATAAAAAAAATAAATATTTACTTTTAACTTTAAGATCAGCTCAATCAGGGTATTTTATCCTGGTATTGTATCCTTTCCCTCCAACACAAAATAAGGAACAAAAGATGCACCCGGTACCGGTACACATACATTTATTGTTCCCCAATCTACCAGAATTATTGGCATGCTTCCACAGATGCCATAAAAGCAAATAATCACTCTTAAATTCATAGCATTACAGAAATGGGTTTTAATAGCTTGAGAAATGCTTAAAATGTCAAATGTTAAGCATAGTGTTCATTATGTTTTTTTAATAATTTTTGATATACCCGGCACTGAAAATGAATACTTACACATTTCCATTTATTTGTACCGGTATCCATATCTTAAAATGTAAAAAGAAACACAAAAAAAACAACAAGCTGCACAAAACCTATTACTATTAAAAATGTAAATCACTGTCTAAGAAACTAAGAAGCCATCATAAACTTTAACTCTTCTTGAATATTAAGTTAAGTAGTACCGGTATCTGTAAATTATTCATTTCATGTTTTCTCATCTAAATGATGTTTGCAGCACCATTTGAGAAGTTTCCCCCTAAACCAGATTCTAAGATTCAAGCCTTTTGGGTTATGCCCAATCTTGAGGTAGGTCTGCAACTGATTGTAATGTACTCTGAATTTATTTGATCCCCTAAATAAAAGGATAAGTAAAAGGTTCCACATGCAGATTTTTTATTATATTTGTTGAGAGACAAAATACAGAACCCAAATGTCGGATTTTTTCAAAGTGCCTTATAAAAGGAGATAATGAATCATCACTATCTTCTGCTATTGTAACAATAAAAATCACTTTGTGTTTCTTGAAGTCAGTCACTCCTTGGGCTGTGACATAACACGTTTTAAAGCCAAACATTTTTATAAAACGATTTAGATAACTTCATTAAATTCTATTCCATTGAAAAGGGTCTTGCACTGCACATTTTAGTTTGATTAATTTCTTATATTAGCAGCCTTTTCAAAAACTTACTAACGCAAACTGAATAACTCATTACCCGTTACTCAAGATTGTATTGCATAATTATACTGAAAATAGCTAATCAATACCGGTAGTAATTTGAAGGAGTTATTTGAAACAGAATGTTATTTTTAAAGTTAATTACACAAGAGCTATTCATTCATGAGTTTTTTAGACTTAGTCAAACACATAAACTACAATCAACTTTACAAATTCAGTGTACCGGGTAATTATAAATATGGGGGAGGATTGCTTCCAGGTTGAAGCACTAAATTAAGACCAAGATTTTACATTGCTGAAAGTAAAAGCTATTTAAAATTGTTGGCATGTTGATTTGATAGTAAGGTAACATTAACATGGAATACCGGTATAGAAGTAAAATCATAATGTAATTAGGGTTATTTGTGTTTCAGCAACCCACCTCTTACAATATTCCTATGCATGTCTCTTACACAACCAGACGGGACTCATCACTAACAGAGGATCTCTTATCTGACATGGTAACATTCTCTTGACCTATTTGAATTAAAAAAACAACAACTTTAGTTCAAGTCTACAGCATTCAAGTTCAAAGGAGGTTAAATAATCTGTTCAATTTCAATGATGTATCTGTACTATTGCTACCGGTATTAATACTGGTACTGTACTTATTAAATTAATTTAATTAATAGTACTGGGGATCCTTTTTTTGTTTGGGTGAATGAATTAAAAAAAAAAAATCCAACTGTCAATGAGCATGACTAATTTTAACTTAAAAAGGAACCTGTTTGTTACTAAGTTACTAAGGTACCCTACCTATGGCATAAATATTTACTGGAAAATGGAATAAGATAGGAATGTTATGATATCTTCCTCAAACAGAAAAACCTAACAGAATTCTACAGTGGAGCTGTTGATAAAGTCAATCTGAAGGAACATTGGGGTGAAGCAATCACATATCTTGATAAAGTGAAGGTAAGTTGAAGTCAGTGAAAATTATGCAATAAATTAAACATTGTCATATATATATACCGTATGACACCCATATATGATTACATTTTTTCCTTTCGACATGAGTGTTTGCATTATTATTATATACCGATACAGTAAATTTATAAACAAATGTACCAGTATCAGTAATTGAAATGAATGTTTGAAATTTGAATAATCTGCTCTACCAGTAATTGAACATGATTCCTGCTGCATCTCCATTTATAATTTATTTAATCACAGAAACAGGGTACCGTACTCAAAATCTATCTTAACAAATACTGTAATCTTGATATCTCCTCCAGGCATCCCTGAGAAGCAAATTACCAGAAGATCAGCTTGAAAGTGGGACATTCCTTGACTATGTGCAGCAGCTTCTCAGAGACATGAGATAAATAACTGCTGCAAATTCAATTTTCAACATATCATCATAATGACTTGTACTAGTATCTTCTAATCCTTAAATTATATGTGCAATTTATATTGTGATTGTTAATATAATATTACCGTGTACGGTATGTAATAAACAGCTGTTGTGCACCATAGAAATGTATTCCTCTATTTATTCACAACAATTTTTTTAAAATATATAAATACTACTCACTGTTGTGAAAAGTAACAGAGCACCACCAATGGAAAAAAGTTGAAATTATTTAACTGGGTACCTCTAAGTCTTACTCTTATTAAAGTCCTGGTACTGATTATATTTCTACTGTCTTATTCTTTGGGTCAAAATAGCACTGGTTTCAAGTTTGAAAATACTTTTGACATACAATAGTGTCAAAAAGTTAGTCTTTATTCAGGTTTACAACACTTTAACTTCACTTTTTAATAGATTTCTATGTCCTGTCGTAAAGTAAAGCGTTTAAGTTTAACAGTTAGGGCAATGCTCTGCAACTGCCTAGACTCGTTTCCCAAATTCCATGGGGGCATTAAAAATTAATACCTCCCCCAGTTTTCGCAAGGAAAGTAAAATACCAGGTAATTGAAATATAAAAGCCTCAAGTAAGTCATATCCAAAGAAAATACCGGGGTAACCATTAGTTTCAAAAGTTTAACCATTTAAGATTGGGCACCTATGTTGCCATACCATATCGTAATTTATTTCAATAAACTTCATTTTGACACTGGTTTGTATTTGTAGTTCAGAAAATTTGACTGAGCATAATTATCTGCTTAAGACTTTCCATCAAATCAACCTACCGGTACTATTTCATCATATCCAACCAATAAATCATTGATATTATGATCTCTTTGCTAAACCCTGTGGGGGGGGGGTAGGCACTGCAATTTATTACAATTGCACTTCCACTCAGACTAATACTACTGACACATGGTACCCACACTGCAGAAGTATTAATTCATGTTCAACTCAACCCATGTTACTAGCTTTAATCAGTGTGTTCGATACAGTACATTTTGTACTAAATGCTACTTTGCACTCCTCCATCCTGGGATGTTAACTTTATAACTGAAACCTCTGTGCCTTCAAACTATCACTTTTCAAACAAGGTAATCAAAAACATTTATTCAATACTTCCTCCTGACCATAGGCATATGGTTGTGTGCTCACAGGGTCAGTATCAACTAAAAGTTTAAAAGATAAAGCAGCAATTTGTGGTAAACACCAGGAACAAAGTTGATGGAAAAATTGACCTCAGAAAACAAGTGTGAATGGTGCTAGTGTCACCAATAAATCTCAGAAACACCTCAGTATACTTATGGCACTAAATTAAGTACAGTACAAACATTCATACAACCCACTATTGAAATCTACTAACCTAAATTATATTATTATACTAAATAAATTCACAACCAGCGTTTATGCAAACCAAGCATTCACTGCAAAATGATAACAGGAATAAAAATTCTGTGAAAGCCACTTTTATTAAAATATGAGGTTGTTTCAGAAGTAAGCCTGAACCAGTCTTTCCATGCAAACATAAAAAGATGAAGCATTAAACAGCCGAAAGACAGCATCTTAGGAACCACTTCATCAAATTGATTAGTACACGGCTTCAGAGACATCCTTGAAGGCAATCGGGTGTGCTTCTGTTTAGGCTGACTTCTGATGCAGAACTCGACACACAAAGACGACAAAGACAGGTTTACTTGGATCTGTGAATAGTGAGAAAAAGAACATTAGCAGCCATGAAATTAAAGCTACATATTTTTAATGAGGCACATTCCTATAAAACAGGCCAGCACAACTTAAAATAGAAGGCGGGACACACTGCATGAAAAACTGAAAGAAAATAGGGGGAGAAAATATAGCTATTAAAAATGAAGCAAACAATGTTTCGCTACCCTGCGGGACAGCAACACATGCATCCCCTAATGTTGCGCAGTCCTGATATAGTACACAGATCTAAAATGGGTTCACAGCAAGTGATAGGTAAAAATGCTACACATAAAGAAAAAACAAATCTATTCAATAGGATTGACTGTAAGCCAAAGATATGTGTAGACCCACATCTAGAGAAAAAAAATCAATTCTATAAATATCAAAAGTAAAAGCCAACAATGTGCATGAACATAAAGGTCACATTTTAGTCCTGATAAGTTAAACCTTTTAAGCAGATTTGCAAATTTAGGGACAAATGGGACTGGCATGGTAGCTACATAAAATGATGCAACTGTACATCACTTCCAAAGTCCCAGGTCACTACACACATGACATGATTCAAATGCTACCATAAAGCATGTAATATAACAAAAATAAACAGCCCACCATTCACACAATCTTACAAGTATGTGCAGAAAGTGGACTAATACTAATGACATTATGTAATGTTATTCAGTGTTGCCTATTTTTTTTAATGTTGCTGGTTTCTGAAAAATTACAGACTAGGTGTTCTCGTCCCAAACAAGGGGGTGGGGTGTAAGTATTAAATACAAATAAAGTCTAAACTTGTTTTATCCTAGGGACACAGACTTAAAAATTACACTAGTCCACAGTGGGACAAAAGTTATGGGGTTAAAAACAATTATTAACTGCTTGAATTCGACCAAGCAAGATTTGCAGGTCTTGCATCCATTAAAAATAAGTGAAAGAAAACAGCATGCCTGGGCCACATAAGTATTGAATTATCTGACATTGAAATTAACATATCCAAGCGCAGGGTAGAGCTAACAAATGTATTCAAACCAAGGCACTGAGGGCAATAAATAAAATAAAATTAGCTTACCTCGCCCTCATCTTTCTTCGCTTTCGCTTCAACCTTCGCATACGCTTCTTTCTCCACTGTAAAAAGAAAAAACAGAGGTTACGGAAATCCATTAAATAAGCAGTAGGCTGCTAAGCAGTAGAGATAGCATTTACATATTAAAAATGCAGGCTAATATTAAGGACGGCTGCCACTGTGTTTACTATAGTTGCAGTGAATTAGGGTTTAGGTTAGGTTGAGGGATTGATGTAGGGTTCAGGTTAGGCATAGGGATTGATTTAGGGATACATTCGTGAAATTAGATAAAATTGTGGCAGTTGTCCTTAAAATTTACCAAAATGCATACGCCTTTAAAATGAAAGAAAAGGCATGCCAATAGTTAATAGTAGACCTAGAATTACCACACAAAAAAAAAGACTTGACTTGTCCATATATAATGATGCCAGGTAGCCAAAAGGAACCGACAAAGTATGCACAAGATACATTAATTCATTACCTAGCATAACAAAACCTTGATGGACAGTAATAACAGTGTACCTTTAGTAGTCTAGCAGTTACTAGCACAGTTAGTACCAGACAGTGGTTTTGATTTTTGAAGTCACGTTAACTTTTAGCAATAACTATGAATTGCTAAAATCGGGATTTAAATATTTGGTAACATATAAGTATGTATACTTTAACATAAAACATGTATGTGTGGCGAAATAGATAATAAAAAATAGACCATGCTTAGCATTTTACAATTTGCCATGCCACTCGTTCATACGAGAAAGTACACATCAAAATAAATTTTTAAAATGCTTACCTTGGCTCTCATTTTCTTTAATGAATCTGAAATATAAACAGTGATAATACGTTATTTAAAACTAATGCATTGAAAAAAATGGATTATTATTTAAAACTTCGGATATAGTCAGATATTTATACAAAGGTTAAGCACCATATTTTACTACACACCTGCCCTGCAAGGAGCGATCTAAAAGAAAGGACAGGAAGCGGAATCGAGATATTTATGCAAAGTCCAGACCAGATATCACTGTGCCAGTTGGCGCAGAAAAAGGCCAGATTTTTTTAATTTTATGCCTCGGGTTCTTTTCTTAAAAGCGAGGCCGAAAAAATAAATGCAATAACGGATAATCAAAAAGAAGACTAATAATGAATGTGTTAATTGAATAATTTTCGACTAGTAGTGATACGTAGTGTAATACCTGCTTTTTAGTCTGCGTGAACTGGTTAGACTTATAAAATACCGGTCGCAAAAATACTTGTTCTGGTAAATTTCTCAAGCAACAAATATATAATCTAGCATTCCGTTGACAGTTGAATTTAGGTTTATAACCCCCAACACCTTTTTTTTTAGTGATAGCTCCCCCCCCCAAATAAATACATAAATAATCAAACACTTATTTTAATTGCCATGAGTAAGAAACCATTTAACAATTAAAAATGTCTTTGTTTAAGAACCACTCAAAATTATTTTTGTATTCTTGTATTATTTTAGTTTGCTTGAGTGAAATTACTTTATACCACACACAATTATGAATATACTGAAGCCCAGCTTCAAAATTATTGTTTAAGTCTATGGCTAAGTGCTAATAAGTTTTTCACAACCCTGAAAAAAAATCTGTCCTTTTCAGACAATGATGATGAGGTAACGAGGTGTTAATATGTGGCACATCATTTAGTATGAAATCTGCTACCACTTTATATAACTTATAACTCTCCTCACTTTCAGATCACAGTTTTTTAGTGTCTCAGTGACGCCATAAAACACATTCATGCGAATTGGTCTTAGTCTCTTGTATTTAGGTGTAGCCTACTTCTGGCCCTTCAACGTCACTGAGTTGTTTTCCCGGTTAAATTTCGAGTTAGCTTATAAATCCACAGCTCGTAGCATTTCTAGCATTTCATACTTTTCGAAATGATCTCATGAAATAGCCTACACGGTTGATCAATTCTAATATTTCATAAAGACATGCGCATATTTTTAAGTTCACATACTTATTCTGTGGAGCTTGGCTTACTTCGTGAAAATTTGGTAAATTCTCATTCCAAAAATTCAACAGAAAAAACAAAAATCTAATTCATCATCTTATAGATGCAATATTATTTGCGTCTCTTCGAGCATCACCTCTTTGATTCTCGTCTTCAGCTATACAGTCAAGTGCTTCTAATAGTTAAGAATAAGATTTCTTCAATATTGTTGATGTAGCCAGTGGCCACAGCATGTGCCGATCATTTAAATCACCTCCGTTTTCAATACAAGTGTTAAGGATTTGCCGCCAGCTGGTTGTTGCTAATATTTAAAAAAAAAAAAAAATCAGCAATTGCACTATCGAGAAAAAAAATAAATACCTATTGGCAGCACTCAATAGCACTCCAGCCTGTTAGATTCAGTGAATGGGCTACACAGAGTACATACATTGGTTTGTGCAAATTGGTATGTGCATAGTTGCTGCATCCCGTTGTTAGCATCATTTTATAGGACTGATCTATACATCTTGTGATCATAGGACTGACCTCTACATCTCATTATCGATTATTTTTAACTGAATAGACAGATTCTATTTTAAATTGAATAATTATGAATTAGATTTTTTTTCTTCTAAAACTAGTAGGCCTACCACAAAAAATGGAGTTGGCATTAAAATCAAAATGCTTTTTCACAAAAAAAAAAAGTTATTAGGTTTATACCGGATTCTCATTGAAAACAAAATTAATAATATAAAAAATGAGTGCAAATAGATGGGGAAATTTGTTTTATCATTCTGATATTAAAAAGAGAAAAACAGTTGGGAAGTTACTAATAATAAATCTAGGCTAAGTATTTAAAAAAAAATAATTAAAAAATCTGTCATTCAGGAAACTTTTTAACAGATTTGAAACGCTTACAAATATGTTTCCAGTAATCTGAATTTGTCTGTCCAACTACTTTGTCAACCCAATACCGTGTTAAGTGCGTCAGCATACAGTCTCGGTGAGTATCGATATTTATGTTTTTATGATTTTCAATTACGATTTTCAAATACTGAACCCTTCTCTCATTATGAAAGGTGAAGAGCTTTTTTTTCAATGATATAACAATTTACATACTAAAAGTAAACTTTTAGTATGTATGGGTGCTGGGTGGCCGAGTGGTCTAAACTGAGCAAATCTCAAGTCGGTACTCTGTGAGTAGTATCTTCCAGAATTGTCACTAATGAAATGATAGTTAAACTTGTGAAATGGCCCACTGTGGCGTTGACAGTCGTTGGGACCACGAGCAATGCATTAAGCTTCACCATCAACAGAAAAAGTCACAATCCTGTATCTTTCACTCAATAATTTCATAGATTTTATCTATTTTTCTATATATATATATTTTTTTTTGGGTTTACTAAAATGTCAGGTTTAGCAGTTATTTATACTACCGAATCAACACGTGCAATCGAGGTATCAAAGGGACAATTTGAAGGCAAAGATGTAGCTGATCAGCTTGGGCTTAAGTTATATCACCGATGATTTTAATTGGCTGACAAAATTGGTGTTTATTTAAGCACCAGGTTTTATGTGAATTGATAATTGATGGTTATAGGCCTAGCGTGGTAGCAATATACTTCCTTGTAAGGGAACCCTTACAACAAAAAAAAAAAAGAAAACACAAAAAGAAAAAAAAAGAAAAAAAAAAACAAACAAAAAAACAAACAAAAAAAAAAAAAAAAAAAAAAAAAAAAAAAAAAAAAAAAAATAAAAAAAATTGATTTTAATTGGCGGAAAAAATTGGTTTTTATTTAAGCACCAGGTTTTATGTGAATTGATAATTGATGGTTATAGGCCTAGGGTGGTAGCAATATACTTCCTTGTAAGGGAACCCTTAAAAAAAAAAAAAAAAGAAAACACAAAAAGAAAAAAAAAGAAAGAAAAAAACCAACAAACAAACAAACAAACAAACAAAAACAACAATAAAAAAAATAATAAAAGAACAATCAAACAAAAGAAACGAAAAACCCAACAATAATAAAAAAAAAAAACAACAAAAAACATACACACGAATGACATCTGGATGACTTTTCGGTTAAAAACATGTTTGGCGGTCTGTAGTATGACTGTTGTTTAAGTGACGGCAGGTAGGGTGTAGGACTAGTTGTAGGACTGGGTGTAGGACTGGCTGTAGGACTGGGTGCAGGACTGGGTGTGGGACTATTCTTTAAATGACGACAGGTAGAGTGTAGGACTGGCTGTAGGACTATTCTTTAAATGAAGACAGGTAGGGTGTAGGACTGGCTGTAGGACTATTCTTTAAATGACGACAGGTACGGTTGTAGGCCTTGCTGTAGGACTATTCTTTAAATGACGACAGGTATGTTTTAGGACTGGCTGTAGGGCCATTGTTTTTAGATACTGAGAAGTTAGCTCTTTTTTGTGAAGCTAGTAAAATATCTCTTATATATTACGCTTCTGATGTGACTCGTGGACCGTTTCCATCAATTATTATCTTTCCATTTCTGACTGCTTCCTATTCAGCGCACTTGGTAATGAGATTATAATTCTCTATGTTTGAAAGAAAGAATGGTTCAAGTTCAATAATGAGTTCACTAGCGCACAACATATATATTCCCGATAATTACGCTAAATGATATATTAGGCCTATACATTTTATTATTAATAACCCAACTGCGTTATGTGTGTAATATCTTTTTTTCGGAAAATGAAATCGTCTCAATTTAAGTATGGTATAAAAAATATTCGGTTTAAAAGTGGTTGAGACATCAGAATATTTAATACAGTTCCTGAACGTGAAATAAAAAGTGTGCAATGACGTAGCATGGGAGGGGGTGGGGGTGAGTGTTACGAAAATTGGAATTCATAAATGTGCGTTACTTAAGTTCATGTTTTGTCAAGCAGCTTTAGTAGATGATGTTCACGCATTGCTGTCGCCAATGTTTGGCGGGCTATATCTAGTATATATATAGAATATAGATATTGATGATGGAATTAATGGATGCCCCCATAGTTATACTGGCTTGCTTATTGAAAAATGCATCTAGGAATAAAAGGTATCAAGTTAAAAAAACAACAACAACATAATATTTGAAATAAGTTGTGCAGCATTTAAAAAAAAAAAAAATAGTTTCCGTTTATTTAAAATACCAGATGTTTTCTCGTACGTCCGCGCAAACTTATATAAGTCTGAACAGTATCGGATGTTGCACCCCTCCCCCATCCCCCTTTTTTTTCTTTCTACCAGCCTACCAACGGACCTATCCCGCCCCGTAATCGCATTTTTATGCGAGGGCGGTGAGCAGATTGCAGTTTATGTTTGTGACTGTCATTCATGTTTGTTCGTCGTTGTTGTCTTGTGTTCTCTCGCAAGGGATCTCGACCTCTCCGTGGTGCGAGAGACTAGTAGGTCTTGAGCGCAACTGAAGCGCTCGACCGAAGCTAACGATCCCGGCGCATGCGCCACGAACTAATGGGCGCCTGGAAGAGGGGCTAGGTCAAAGCAGAGCGTAGTTCGGAGAGGGGGGAGGGGAGGGAGAGGGGGGAGCCAACTGTCGATTCTCTCTATCCTAATAGCTGGTACAGAGGATTCGCTTGATTTTGGTCAGAAACCAATTTTTTTTTTTTTCAAAAGTTAAAATCCCAGCACCAGAGCTCCACTTCCTGGCTACACTCCAGATCCTGGCTACACTCCAGATCCTGGCTACACTCCAGATCCCTGATTCAAACCTATTTTAGCCTCTCTCTCTCTCCCCCCCCTCTCTCTCTCTCTCGTATATATATATATATGTATGTATGTGTATATATATATATATATATATATATATATATATATATATATATATATATATTAC